GGGGTGAGGCAGAGATGCCCATGAGTGCAGGTGCCCTTAGCCTTGGACCTGGCTTCGTTAATTCAGAACATCACCCAGACACAGGGAGAATGACTCTCAAGGGAACTGCCCCCTCCTTCCAACCATCCATTCCCATGTCTATAATTTAGCCTCTCATTATGAGTCCCATAAGACCAGCTGTGTCCAACAAGACTTCCTGTGATGACAACGTCCTATCAATGCACTGTCCAGTATGGTGGCCGCTGCCACACGTGGCTATCAAGGACTTGAAATGAGGATGGTGCAACCAAGGAACTGAAGTTTTCACTTTATTTTTTATTGAAGTTTAAATAATAGTCACACATGCCTAGTGCTATTGAATTGGACAACACACACCTGGATAAGGGCACATTCTCCATTCATTTGTGCTCAGACCCACCTTTGTTTCATTCTTCACACACCTTCCAGACAAATCCCTGAGCTGGGCCCCCAGGTCTTCCCTAGGAATCCTGTGCTATAGCCCTTGTAGACATCTATGCTCATGTGTGTGCACGAGTTTGTGTAAAAATGTAGAATTACAATAGATTTTTTTTTATTTTTAAGAGACTTTTTCATAGTTTTTATTTCAAATGAAAAAACTCCATAATTATAAAAAATGACATTGCATAATTTTCCATAGAACAACCAAGGGGGAAAAGTTGTTGCATTGCAAAATAATATGAAATCATTCGGGGACATTTGTCTGGAAGGTGTGTGAGGCTGAATGAAAAGGCAGGTGTGACCCCAGGGAGGGAGGGGAGTTGGCTGGAAGATCAATCTTAATGACTAATGTCAAGGTCTTGGAATTCACATCCATGACCCTTTGTGTTTATTGATAAGAAAGCTGAGTGCTGAAGAATTGATGCTTTTGAACTGTGGTGTTGGAGAAGGCTCTTGAGAGTCCCTTGGACTGCAAGGACATCCAACCAGTCCATCCTAAAGGAGATCAGTCCTGGGTGTTCACTGGAGGGACTGATGCTGAAAGCTGAAACTCCCAATACTTTGGCCACCTGATGTGAAGAGCCAACTCATTTGAAAAGACCCTGATGCTGGGAAAGATTGAGGGCAGGAGGAGAAGGGGACAACAGAGGATGAGATGGTTGGATGGTATCACCGACTCAATGGACATGAGTTTGGGTAAACTCTGGGAGTTGGTGATGGACAAGGAGGCCTGGTGTGTTGCAGTTCATGGGGTCGCAAAGAGTCAGACACGACTGAGCGACTGAACTGAACTGAACTGAGATAGCATTCATTTACTTTGTCCTGCTAGCATCAGACACAATCCCTGCTTTCTTTACTACACAAACTTCCTATGAATGACTCAGTCAAGAAGAATGCACATTCTTCAAGGAACCATGAAGATGTCCAAGAGAAAAGGAGAAAAGAGTAGGAAAAAAAATGGTAGTAAGGAGTATTCAGTAGAAATACATTGACATGGAGATTAAACTGGCAACCAAGCCTAATACCATGAAATAAAGTAAAATAACAAAACAAAAATCAAAGCAATCAGTTCACCAAAGCTTAAAGCAGTGAGGCAGGAATATATGCAACAGAAGCCAGCATGACTCCAAAGAGAAATGGAGGGAAAAGGAAACATGCTTGTAGGGGTGCAGGTTGGCGGTGGCTCAGGGAGTAAGCAGCCTGCCCAGACTGTGCGTGACCGGGGGCACAGATGGAATGTGCACGCCAACGGAGTCAGCTAGTTTGAGAAAAGGTAAATCTGAGGAAAGGCAGGTGAGAGAGACCCAACACATATCATTGCTGTCATTAAAAACAAGACCTGCAGTGATGGAACAAAACCAGATTTAGACGTGATTCAAGAAAACTTTCAGAGATCGAACCAGACTTGGATCTACTCACAGGCTGAAAGTACGCATGGCACCCCCGGGATGGGGGAGGGGAACGACACCCATCCCTCCACAGCAAAGCCTGCCCGACCTGCAAAAGGGTCTGCGGGGCCCGGCCCGCGGCCCGCGCCCGCTGGAGCGCCGTCTGCAGGCCTGGCTGAGATATGCGGCCATGGAGTCCCGGCCCGGCCTGGAGCCTCCGCGGGTCTGTTCTTGCGGAGCAAGCGGTTGGGGGGGGTTGGGGGCGTTGGGGGGGGGTGGCGGGGCGGGCGTGGAGCCGCTCTGTGGTCAGCACGGGGCAGGGTCATCTGTCTGCACGTCACACCCGCTCGTCTGCAACTACTGTTTAGCCAGGTAAGAAGCACATCACTACACTATCCCACATCATCTCCCTTGGTGTTCAGTGCTAGATCAGCTGGCCGTTTTAAAAATATAAACACACACCACAGGCAAAATGAAGAACACTGTATTAACGTTTATTTCTAATGACAAACAGAACATCAATCCCTTATTGTACAAAAATACCTGAATGTTTACAATTAGGTTCGTGAGCCGAGGAGCTATGTACAGAAAGGAGCAAAGCACATGGGACAAAGGTTTTGTCTTTTCGGTTAATCCGTTCTGCTTTCCCTGAAAACGTCTACACGTCGGGCGATGCCATGCTCACCACACTGGCATCACAGCCCCCGCGAGCCAGCCCCACCCCTGCAGAGGTGTGTCGATTGGTCAAACCCTCAGGTATTCAGTGCAGAAAAGAGAAGACAAAACATCTAGACTGAGGCACATATTTCTCCAAGCTTTAGCAAACAGAAAAACATTCTGAAACTCTAACACATAAGGTCACAAAGCTCTCCTACTTAGCGTTATCCCCAAAGCATTTGGCGTTTTCTTTCTCAATTCAGTCCAGGTTGCTACATGGAGTTTCTGTTCACAACAGAAAATCACAGGAAGAGATAAAAAGTCAACAGGCTCCGAAATGACCCTGAGCTGTTCCGTTTACATTCATGTCATTTAAATACAAAAATAAAAGTCGAATGTCCTTCAGCCCCTGGCTTGCCCAGCTGGACGCCCATCTCCTGCAAGGGGCTGCCCAATGGCAGGTGGATCCCCAGTTGCCCGGTACAAAGGGCCCTGGGAGGGTCACCCTCTGTGACAGTTCACTGCGGCCAGGAGGGTACACACAGAACCGTGCATCAGAGTCAAGCTTTAGTTCTCTTTTTAAATACAAGGTGTATTTATAAATACGCAATACTGCAGATACTAGCTGTCTATTGAGTGAGTCTCATCTCACTGGTGGAGACTGGTCTATGTAAACAGAAAAAAGAAACTGGAGAGGTGGCTTTTTTTTTTTTTTTTTTTTGCTGGATTTTTTTTGTTTTTGAAAGGCTTTACCTCCAACTGGTAAAGAGAAAAATGTCTACTAGTGTAACTGAAGCATCAGTCCCTCCAGGGGAAGCAGGCTGCCAGGTAGGAGTTGAAAATTACCTAATTGTCAACTGTTGGAAAGATTAACAGGCTAGAACACAACCAAAAAACCCCCCCCAAAACAAAACAAAACAAAAAAAGCCATCGAACGTTCATGGTTAAAAACATATTTTACTAAAAATTCTTCATTTGTCTAAGTAGACACTTCATGGAAAATAAGTAGAGTGTGTCTTGTCAACTAAAATACAGTGTCTATACCACGAACTGAGGTACAGCGGGTATGCGTCACTGTGTCCTAGGCCGCTCGTCTCCCTTGGGAAGTGCTGCAGTGGGCAATCCAGGGATCTAGCAGCCAGCACGGTCCAGAGGGGCCAGGGAAGCATGACTGCTGTGACCTGGGGACGGAAGTCATCTTTCAGCAAGCAGCATGCATGCTGTCAGGGGAGCCCTTTCTGCTCTGCAGGGATCAAAGGCAGAGGAACGGCCGCCTGCACGCCTGAAGACTTGGCCACTGGGCAGGGCGGAGGGTGGGGACATCTCAGGCCACCGTCTGACTTAGCTCCTGGAGCAGCACACAGCGCTGCGTTGCTAACCTGTCCATGGCCAGCCCCGCCGTGGGGGCCTCTGGACCTGGGCCAGTGGAGGAACCACCTGCGGCCTTGCAGGGGATGGCCACTGGGCTGCCAGCAGGATGGAGGCCACCAAGAGAGACCATCCCCTGTGGGGCTGCCCTCTGTCACCATGGAAACCCGGCCACGCAGGTGCCACCTCCTTTCAGATCCTCAGAGCCCCCAGGGCAGAAAGAGCAGCCCTGGAAGGCTGGCACCACTGCAGAGGGGTAAGGCAGCGATGGTTCTAGAGCAGGCTGGAAGGTGGGGCAGGCGGGCGATGGGCACTCGCTGTAATTAGGAAGGCTGGCCTGTGGCCAACGAGGGGCCGCCACTCAGCCCCTCCGTGTTGTGGGACAGCGAGTTTTCCAAAGAAACACGTGTCCAGCAGCGGGGAAGACAAGATGACACGTGGAAGGCAGGTGGCAGCATGTGTGGGGGATGGGCCAGAGCGGGGATGGCAGCCTGGGTCGCCTCTGGCCACGCAGCACACCACGGGCCTACCTCAAGAACACCTTTTATCTCAAAAAGCTTTCAAGTATACTGGGGGGCTGGGTGCCTTCTGTCTGGGAGTGACGTGCAGAGCGTACGCACCACCCTCTGCAAACACGGTCAACCTCTGGGGGCTGCCCCCTTTCAAGTGTCTTCACATCTCGTACACACGGAAAAGCCACGGCCCCTCCTGCCATAAGCTGAATACAATATTGAAAACAAGGAGTGCAAAAAAGGGAGCAATACAAAAAAGTAAACATATCGGTTTTAATTGTCAAGATTATTCCAGGGCAAGCGCTCACTTCCAATCACTTCTCTCTGGCTAGCGCTCCTCCATGGCCCAGCCAAGACCATCATTCCAGTTTACTCTCGAATAATCTGCTCTCTCCTGCCCTCCCCGACGAGGCCAGGGAGAGAGGGGCAGCCCTGCTGCATCTGCAGCAGTGAACCACCGTCAAGTCCAACAGATGAGTCGATTGTGGTCAGCTGGCGCCAAATGCACCGTCTTGCTCCGAGCCCTAGGGTGCAGACGGATGTGTGCTGAAGGATGCACAGGCCTCTTCAGTCCAGTGTCAGCGCCCACCGGCCTGCAGCCAGGCTAGATCTGAGGTCATAAGGCCACTCGGATGCAGTGGTGCTTCAGTCTGCAAGGCAGGACCCCTTTGTTCAGCTGGTAAAAGTCAACAAGCTGGATCAGGTCAGAGAATTTGGTGTTCCCATCGTCAAGGCTGAAGAATGTCTGCCCGTCATCCTCGCACTGGAGAGACACAATAAGACCAGCTAAGTAAGAGGCCACAGCTCGGGGGACGAAACAGGCCCCACCGTCAGGACTAGTGTTTTCCACCCCTGCCGAGGTTCTGGGGCGACACGTGGAAGCAGTGAGGTGAGCTCGAAAATAACACGGCAGGAGGTCGCGGAGTGAGTTTTTTGTGTGGAGGCAGGTTGGGAGAGGTACTGCGAAGTACCCAAGGCTTCAGGGCACAACTGCTCCCCTACGTCTGCGGAGGGTCCCAAGCTCCTCCCAGTTCGCCCTGCTCATAAGGGCAAAGTTGGTTAGTCAACCTGTGAGTGTCCATGCACTCAGCACACCCCGTGGAGGAGCGGGAGGTTGACCAGCTGACCTGAGTATCCATGCACACAGCATTCACCATGGAGGAGGCTGATCAGTCATCCTGAGTGTCCATGTGAGCACTCAGCACACCCCGTGGAGGAGCGGGAGGTTGACCAGTTAACCTGAGTATCCATGCATACAGCATTCACCATGGAGGAGGCTGACCAGTCATCCTGAGTGTCCATGCACTCAGCACACCCCGTGGAGGAGCGGGAGGTTGACCAGTTAACCTGAGTATCCATGCATACAGCATTCACCATGGAGGAGGCTGACCAGTCATCCTGAGTGTCCATGTGAGCACTCAGCACACCCCGTGGAGGAGCGGGAGGTTGACCAGTTAACCTGAGTATCCGTGCATACAGCATTCACCATGGAGGAGGCTGATCAGTCATCCTGAGTGTCCATGTGAGCACTCAGCACACCCCGTGGAGGAGCGGGAGGTTGACCAGCTGACCTGAGTATCCGTGCATACAGCATTCACCATGGAGGAGGCTGACCAGTCATCCTGAGTGTCCATGTGAGCACTCAGCACACCCCGTGGAGGAGCGGGAGGTTGACCAGTTAACCTGAGTATCCGTGCATACAGCATTCACCATGGAGGAGGCTGATCAGTCATCCTGAGTGTCCATGTGAGCACTCAGCACACCCCGTGGAGGAGCGGGAGGTTGACCAGCTGACCTGAGTATCCGTGCATACAGCATTCACCATGGAGGAGGCTGACCAGTCATCCTGAGTGTCCATGTGAGCACTCAGCACACCCCGTGGAGGAGCGGGAGGTTGACCAGCTGACCTGAGTATCCATGCAAATGGCACGCCCTATGCATAGAGGTAGCTCCTATAAAGATCTCACTAGCAGGCCTGAAACTGTCCGACATTTACTCTTCTCTAGTGTGGTTAGTTCAAAAATTGCACGAGGGACAAAACCAGAACACAAAAGAGTAAGAATGAGTGTGAAAACGTCAATACTTACAGGTAAGATCTGGAAATTTTTAATTTTCTGATGATGACACAGTGTGAGGACAAATGCCTTTGGATTACTCTGGCTGTCACGGAGGAGAAAGAGCCTGGGAATGGAAAGAATTAATTGACTGTTAACTCCAGACTGAATATGCATGTTATCTGTATACGTCAACATAGACAGGCTTCAGGAGGCGAAGTTTCAGGAAGCTTTGGGAGCTGAGTGAGCTGCAGGGCGAGACCACCCTCCACACCTAGACTGTGCTCTGGCTGTCACTCCCCATCAAAAGGAACCAGGGAACACGGCTCCTTGGGGACACAGCTGCCTCTAGGGCTGAGGCAGGAAAGGTACAGGTTGAAGCTGGTACACTTTGTGTCAGAAAGTAAGGAGGTACTCAAAGAAAGCTAACCTAGGAGGCAGTGTGGCCACACCCAGGCATCTAAGTGAATAACACTGGTGATTGATTATGACCTATAGCATAGAACAAGAATCCTAAGTCCACACTGGTGTGATGAATAAATCAACACATAAATAACAGAGGAGGAAAAAAAAGCTCTTACTAAGAGCAGAAGGCCAGCTACACAAGCAAAGAAGATGGATTAGAAAACCACCATCTGGCAATCACCAGATATCACCATTGATTAAGTAGATATTCACAGGATGCTGAAACCAGCATCAAAGTTTGATGAGAATAACAGTATCTCCATAGTCTCAAAGATCTACCCACTAATGTTGACGACAAAGGGACCAACAGTAACCTTCCGACAGAGAAACCTGGTGGACATCATCTTCAGGTATTAAGTGACCACCAACAGGAATGAGACAACCCGCCCCAGCACCTCCCAACAGGATGCACTGAAGATGACTTGGCATCACCTCCTGGGAGTGAGCAGATGAGCCCGCACCTGGTACTTCTGCCCTTACGGCTCCTGCAAGTGTCGAGACACAAAGGAAGACAAGGCCTGTGCTGCCCAGGGTGGTGCTGGGGTCTGGAAGTTCCTTTCCTTGGCAACAAAGGATACAAGTCAGACCTCTGGTAAAATCTGGGAAAGTGGCATGCCCGGGGACAGAATTGCATTCGTGCTAATTTCCTAATTTTTATAATGAGCCTGTGGTTGCCTAAAAGAAGTCCATGTTTTTAGAAATTTTATATTGAAATAATTACAACTCACTCCTAAACGGTCCTGATAAAAAGATGCAAGAGAGAACATGACAAAAGGTGCTGCAAGATTCATGACTCAGGGCACCTGGGTAACATGTGTTCAGGAAGGAGTCTGTTACATGATTCACGCAACTCTTCTACAATTTGAAATTACATCAGAAAGTCTACAAATAACAAGTGATGGCCAGGATGTGGAGAGAAGAGGGCACTGTTGGTGGGAATGTAAATTGGTGCAGCCACTACAGAGAACAGTATGGAGTTTCCTTAAAAACTAAAACTACCACATGAACCTGTAATTCTACTACTGTATATACATAATTGGAAAAAAATGAAAACACTAATGTGAAAAGATACATGAACCTCAATGTTCACAGCAGCACTATTTATAATAGCCAAGACACGGAAGCAGTGCAAATGCCCGTCAACGGATGACTGGATTAAGCAGCTGTGGTACATACACACAATGGAATGTTACTCAGCCATAATAAAGAGTGAAGTCCTGCCACCTGCAGCAACATGGATGGACCTAGGGAACATTATGCTCAGTGAAATAAACCAGACAAGCCCTGGATGATACCACTTATATGTGGGACCTAAAAAATAATACAAATGGATATATAAGCAAAACAGAAACAGACTCGCAGGTGCAGAGAACAACCTGTGGTTACCAAAGGGGAGAGGGAAGCGGGGAGGGACAAGTCAGGGGCATAGGATTAACAGATCCAAACCACTGTGTGTAAAAACAGACAAGCGAGAAGCATGTACAGTGCAGCATAAAGATGATACCCACTATCTTGTAATGGAGAAAAATCTGCAAAAATGCTGAATCGCTACGCTATACACTGGAAACTAACACAATACTGTAAATCAGTGATACTTCAACTGAAAATTAGAATAGCAGGAAGAAGTGTAAATCATCGCTTTTACGTGAACAAATCTGGAATCAGATGTTAAGACAGAGTTCTTCTTTAGAAAGGAAAAGGCCCTAATTCCGGGACAAAGAAGAAATGGCATCAGAGGAAACATGTTTTAAAGGCGTTAGACACCAAACTGTGACAATCAGATAAACCATCAGTGTCTAGATTGTAAATTCAGATGGAAGGCAATTCAATAAGCCTGGGAAATCCTGTTATAAAGGTGAAAACGTTTTATTTCACCACAAGACATCTCAGAGCCTTCAGAAAGTAGATACTCAGTGTGACTCGCTTAGGGCCCCCGCAGGAGGTTTCCTATCTTACCTGACTCTTCACAGCATCTTTTATTATATACCAGCCCCTCTTCGATGGGATTCTGTAGCATGCATGTTCGGCAGGATACATTTTGGAGATGCCAAGCAGGATGGAACTGCAGCATGGGGCTGGGAGGGCAGGAGGGGAGTGGCTATGAAGCAGATGTGTGTGTGACATGTTCGGTGCTGCCAGAGCCAGGGGGACGGGAGGGCCAGCTCCTCTCCCAGGCAGGGCTGTGTGCCTGTCCTTCCCGGGCTGTGCTCTCTTCTCCACATGCTTCCCTAGCAGATGCCCAGGGACTCGATCTTCCTGGAGGAGAAGCTAGGACTGGGCAGTCTCAGCTGAGCTCTCAATGAGCCCCCAGCTGTTTCCTTCCGAGCACCAAGGAGCAAGGCAGGGACGGATGCTGGCTGTCTGCTGCCCAGTTCGGGGTGTGACCAGGAGATCCTGAGGCTGCCCCAATGGCCTGTGCCTAATAGTGGTCTACCTGAAATGACCTCCGACAGGGAGGCACGGGGGTAAGGCCCAGGAGTCAGTGAGATTCCTGGATCTCACACTTGGGAGCGTCGACGGCCATCTGCCACCTTCCCCGGCCTCTCCTGCAGGACTGTGCACGTGCTGGCAGCTGCAGTGTAGACGCTGTACTCACGGGAGGCAGTGCTGACTGCCATCAGCAAACTGCAGGCGCGGGGATTTCTGCTGGGGGTGGAGCACTGCTGAGACGGGCTGGGGGCCACCGCGCCCAGAGACGTCTCTGCTTGGGACTCAGGATGGAACACGGAGTGAAGGTGCTGGTGCCCAGGGCGTCCTTGCTGCTGTCAGGACTCAAATCAGGGGGTTCACGCATCTATTCAGGGCCGAGCAAAGGGCTGCTCATGTCCGGGGCTGACGCAGATCAGAGGGACAGCACAACTCAGGCACGCGGCCCAGGCACGTGCACACCACCTTGCTCAGGACTCGGGGTGACCCTGTCACTGTCCTCACTTTACAGCGAGGCGAGGGGGCCCAGAGAAGTGAGGCAAACTCCCCGAGGCCACACCGCCAGCAGCAATCACAGGGGAGCCCAGGCGCAGCCGGAGCAAGTGTGCAGGGGCTCCTTCGTGGCTGGCAAGGATGCTACACTCCCCTGAGGGTGCCGTGGCAGCCCTGAGAGCGCCCCACTCTGCCTGTGGGGAGAGCCGTAGAGAACACAAATCTCGGCAAAGTCACAGCCTTCTGCCCAGTGGAGGGGCCTGGAGCGGAGACGGAGGGATCAGCTCATGAAAGGCACAGAGGCCGGGGCTGTAGATGGCAAGGGGGCAGTGGCGCTGACCCCAGTATGGACACGGCGGGGGCAGGCAGGGGCAGGACAGAGCCTTGCGCACTGCAAGTCCTGGCATGAGCCCCGGGCTGAGCCACAGCGGGGCCTGCAGAGCAGGACCAGCCCCTGGGAAAGCTCCTTCCATCTTGGGCTCTCGCATGGGCTGCGGGCGGCAAGAGGGGCAGGAAGGAGGCAGCCAGGCAGCACTGGGCTCTGCAGGGCTGGGGGTATGAGTACACACGCACATGTGTGTACAGGCTCAGGCTTCCGTGCGTACACAGGTCACCCGTGGGGGCGGGCGTGGGGTGGCGCCTGCATCCAGGTAGCTTCAGAGGCCCCTCTGGGTTGACTGCAGGCTCCGCTGTCTCTTGCACCCCCTTTGTCATCCGTGATTGAGGCTGAAGGTCTCGGCAGCAGTGTTTTATAAGAGCTGTCATCCTGGCCTGCCTTTCAGGGTGGTTTGTTGTCAGACTCTAAATTGGCTTCCTCCATTACCTCTGCAGGGATTCATAATGATTTGGCATTGATTATTTAATTTACCTCGCTTTCCAAGCACATTTCCTCCCTAAACACGGGAGTGAGTGGACGATGTATACCACTGTGATGACACCGGAATGGGTCCTGCCTTCGGTTTTTGCTAGAGCGCCAGCAGCCAGAGGCTGGGATTGAAGGATCTAATATACAACCTTAGAGGCAACTCAGACCCAGGGAAGGATAGAGAGGAACACAGCCACTGGGGGTGGGAGGAAAGCTGAAAGATGTCCCCACTCCTCACCAAGGCTGGACAGAGGGAACCTTGCCAACTGGGGCTTGGCTCCAGGAAAAGTTGAATTGCAAGACAAACGGACACATAGTGCTGTGGGCCTAGCATGCTGGCCCTCCCCACCCCGGGGCTTCTCCACCCCAGGACTGCTCCTTTTAATGAAAAGTGGGCTGGCCTGTCAGCCTCTCAGGGACGCGGGTGCCACTGTTACTGCCCTGGGCCCCAGAAAGGATGCATGGTACCCAGTGATGCCTCCCGTGGAGCCAGCACTTCTCTGGCAGTGCTGAGAGCAGCTCTTTCCTGTCTGCCCATTTCTGTCTCCCTCTAACCTTAAAAGAACCTAATTATAGGGATGAATCACTAGGCAATCGAAATTAACTCCTGACCTATTCTCTCCTGAACGAGTTATGCCTTGTCTAACCTGCCGATTCTTTTCCTAAATACAATAAAAAGAAGTGCAAATAAAAAGGAGAATTAAGCAGTTAAAGAATGGCTACCTCTCTACCCAAAACGGCCTCCCTAAGCAATCCTGCAGGCAGCCCATGTGGGCAAGATAACATTTCGAGTCTCCCAGTCTGCACTCTTCGGAGAATGGTACGAATCTACCCTCCTGCCTTCATGATGCACTGAGACCCTCACCCCCCACCCCCCG